ACCTCCGTCTTGTCCGGGTTCAGCCTCAGCCCGTTCTCCTGCATCCATTGCAGTACGGTCCCCAGGCAGCGCTGAAGGGACAGAACGGCATCTCCTGTGGTAGGTGGAAAGGAGATGTACAGCTGAGTATCATCAGCATACTGATGACACCGAGCTCCACATCCCCTGATGACCCCACCCAGCGGCCTCATATAGATGTTAAACAGCATTGGGGAGAGAATTGACCCCTGTGGAACCCCACAGTTGAGACTCCACGGGGCCGAGACACTCTCCCCAAGCTGTACTCTCTGGGGGCAGTCCTCCAAGAAGGAATGGAGCTAGGCCAGTGCCAGGCCACCAATTCCCAGCTCAGAGAGCCTCCCCAGGAGGATACCGTGGTCAGTGGTATCAAAGGCCTCTGAGATGTGGAGGAGGACCAGCAGGGACACTTTTCTCTGTCGGCCTCCCTCAGTAGGTTATCACACAGGGCGACCAATGCCGTTTCTGTACCATGGCGCGGCCTGAAGCCCGACTGAAATGGATCCAGGGCATCTGTTTCATCCAGGTGCGCCTGAAGCTGGTCGGCCAATATCTGTGGGATATCTAAGCTAAACCTGGTTCAGCTGGTAACTAGAAACTCTTTCAGCCCCAAACTATTGGTTCAGCTCCAAAAATTGCCACCAGTGGTCTTGCCACCAGACATTAAAGAATTTCCAAATCCTGAGGCTCGCAAAGGCTTCCCCAGAATGAAAGGGATCCCTAAGGATCCCTTTGAACCCTGAGGGTGGCAGTGGTGGAAATGTGAGTTTTAATTAGTAATTAAAGGCCACAGCTGATAATGTTATCTGCCTTGCACAAGTGGAGTTGCACCAAGAGGATTTCAGTCATAGAAGGTTGGCAACATCTTTCAACTTTTAAACCAAATCCTAGACTTTGCTCTTACCTGATGTAAAGTGGCATGTGCCCTTATATTTTGATTTTGAAATATAGCTACCCTATACTGCTTTGACCCATGTTCTGAACCCTACAAAGCACCATATACCTCAGCAACCTCTGATTCAGTGGAGAAGGTAATGTTGATCTAAAACACCAACATATTCTCTATAGGCTTTTTTTCTTTTTAAAGTATTTACCATTGTCTGATGGCAGAGGGTATCAAAGGATGGGAGGAAGAAAAGCTGAAGGAGTACAGAACCAATGCAGATTTATTTATACTTTGAGCAAGCCAGATCTATTTATAATTTGATTATGTGTTGGGAGTTTGTTCCCCCCACCACAGCCCAGCTTTTACTGTTCACTGACATCTGTTCTTTAGTAAAATGTTTTGAGAACTAAGAATGGATGTATGCTTTTTTGTTTTTAAAAAAGCAACAAAAACAAATAAACTTATTCATTTAAATGAAAGCTAAATTTCACTATAAGTCTTATTGTGTCCTTGAAATTTCATTGATTCAACTACTGTAGTTTAAAACAAGATGTAAAGAACTGAGGGCTTTTTTTCCCTCTTGAAAAATTGCTGAAATCTTTTCATCTACTTAATGAGCTTATATACTATTTTATCTAATGCTTTCACTGACCTAATAATAATACAAGGACAAACCAGAACTGTGCAGCTGGCTTCACTGTTACCACATATATATGTACATTTCTTGTATCAGTAAAGTAATATGATAGGAGAAGCAGTGAGGCAGTTGAAGAGTGGCAGCTCTAACAAACAAGGGGACTCCAAATCACCTCTGTGCTACATGTACAGATGGAGGGGTCAATTTCTCTTATTTACAAATGTTTTAAACTATTTTAAAGGACAAGTCTTTTCCAGCCACTTTGCACATGGGTTTAAAAAAAAATTTTTTTTGCTTATATTTCTTCTAACATCCAAATTTTGCATGCATTTGACCTAACATATGGATTTGGTTACCATTTTCATTCACTATATGTATTTTCATACAAATTTCTATAAGTACATGCATTTTTGTATGCATTCTATGCAGAGCTGAAATTTGGGGGGGGGGTGGCAAGGGGGAGAGCTGTTTCTTCCAAGTGGTGATGTTGGCATAGGGATTCTGGGAGTGGTAACTCAATAAGTAACTCCCCCAAACTCTGATTTCTCCTCATGTATGCACTTGTTTATGGATTCCCTCCCCCATCTACACCCTGCCTCTTCATCTCTGAGTCACGCAAGGAGGAGGGTGGCACTGGTTGTTCTTGACCAAGTGCATGGCAGTTTCATTTTTCCAGATTTGCAGTGGCTTTGAGGGTCAATGAGGGTCCCAGCAGATTGACAGCAGGGTACTGGCACTGATGCATGGCTGGTTATAGTTGTTTGGGCCTGTTGTGGAAAGGAGCCTTGAAGTTTAGCCATGGCCATTTGCTGGGCCCACTTTTGGCCAAAGTGAGGAAGGACAAGGGGATCACAGCCAGTGGCCGGGGTCACATAGGAGATTGGAAGGGCTCCCAGATGGCTTGATAGACTGGAGATAATTTGGCCTACAAAAGGGCTAGGCACCCCCTCTAATTTATTTATTTACAAGATTTTTTTAGCCACACAATTACCAGTGGTCTCTGAGTGGCATACAAGAATATTAAAACTTTAAAAACATTAATAGGGACTGGAGATAATTTGACCTACAAAAGGGCTAGGCACCCCCTCTAATTTATTTATTTACAAGATTTTTTTAGCCACACAATTACCAGTGGTCTCTGAGTGGCGTACAAGAATATCAAAACTTTAAAAACAATAATAGGCAATATTATAATAATATTCTGTATTAAAAACAATCATTAAAGCATTAATATTAATAAATCCTGCTGCTCATACGGCCAGCTAAAGAATGCTATTTAATTAAAATGCTGGCTAAACAGGAAGGTCTTTGCCTGGAGCTGAAAAGCCAAAAGTGTTGGAGCCAGGCGGATCTCTATAGGGAGGGCGTTCCAAGGTTGGGGGGCAGCAGCCAAAAAGGCTGTAATTGTCCCGCAACCTGTGGTATTTGTAAGTTAGATATCTGGCTGGGGGAAAGGTATTGTGATTCTTGGTCAGTACCCCCACCCCAGAAAGCAGATGCCACATGCTTTATCACCTAGATTATACTCCTTACTAAATTTCAGTTCTGGAAAGTCACCTCTTGCATGCTGAGTAATGCAGAGATTCAGGACTGGCGATTTGGAACTCATTCATTTCACATAGGGGCTACCTTGCCCGCAGTAGTGTTGGGCATGATACAGAGGAGAGAAAGAATGTGGGAACATGCTCTTCCCACAGATACCAATCATATATATGCACCATCTACCCCAGTAGTGATGCACTTGCTGGGAGTTTTTTTCAATGTCTGTTTATTCCGGGTTTAGATTTACTAGCATGATGGCTGCAGATCCCATTGTATGGCCACAGCTTTGTTTTTCGGGCAGCTAAAGTATGAACTCCCTGGGGCAGAATTTGGGTCTCAGAGCACAGGCCTTGATTGAGTGGAGAAATGAGAGAGGCATGCTTTGCGACAGATTCTCAACTGGTGTCTCAGAGTGCTAATGAACTGCAGCTAGATATTTTGATGGTCCATCTAGGCAGTAATGATTTGATCCAAAGGAAAGGTAAGTAATAGTTATTGCGGGTGGTGCAGGACTTGAAAGACCTGATGGCGAGGTGGCCAGTACAAATTGTTTGGTCCGCCCTTATCCAATGACTGGTGTGGAGAGTGAAGTGTAACCCCAGGACATTGATTGGGTGATACAGGGATGTTGGCAAGGTTCTGGTAGCCAGTCTGGGATCAGTAGTGGGGCATACAGATATACACGGCGAGCATCCAAAAATATGTAATGGGCTTCATTTGTCAGCTTTACATCTTGACATATTCTAACAGGACCTAAGAGATTCTCAGCTGGCCGTGGGGTAAGGAGGTTACCAAAGGAGGTTACTGCAAAATGGAAGGTGCTTTGGTGAGTTCCAAAGGGGCACCAGGGATGTGTACTAGACCTTCCAATGTGACAGCACTGCAGATCTTGAGATTTCATTGCTCTGATGGGGGACAGTAGGTGGGTGTCTGCCCAGCCTGTGGTCATGAGGCTTTGGTGGATGGTAACCAGTCAGCCAGTGTCTGCTAGCTTGAAATGGGCTGTCTAGAAGACAGCATGGATCTGTGGCTTGGGACTTATGTATGGTCAGAAGCTTGAGATCAATTGGAACTCCTAGCCTAGGCTCCTAGCCTAGGTGCCACACTACAGCAGAACCCTCTGTAGGAGGTTACAGTTTAAATGTCTAATAAAGTTGTGCCCCTAATTAAACCCCATCACTCGAGTCTCATCTCTTTATTCTGAGCTGAGGAGGTACAGTATAATATTTCATTCTGAGTTCCATGCAAAACTGTAGTCTTATTCCAACATGAATTACTATGTTCAACATGCAAAGAGAAAAGCACGTAATCTCCATTTCCCTCTTTTGTTGCTTTTCTCATGCAGGAGGTGATAAGACTGAAGAGGATGGTTTATGTTCATGTGGAGGTTCTCTATACAAACAGAAACCCCAATCCATATCATTCACCCCCCATGTGAAGAATGTCCACATGAACAAGTTCTCTCCTCTGCAGATAAATTATTTTCCCTGTGAAGCAACTAGTGACAGTAGGAGGCAAGACTAGGCACCTCTTCACATGTTGAAGTCAACTTGGGAAATAATGCCACAATAGGGCCTGACCACTTGACATGAGGGCAGAGAGGCCAGGAATATACAATCTACTTGATGAGCACTTAAGAGACACACCAGGACTGTCAGGAGCAAGAATCTGAAGGGAATAGAAACTCTCCTTTTAGAAACCAGAAGCACTGTCTACTGAAAGTTTTCTCAATACACAGATCTTCTCGCATTCTTTAATAGACTTCCAAAAGTTTTACTTCTGAAACACTTCTTTGAGAAAAATGTGGAACCATTGAGAACCCACTTCTTCTGGTTCTTATACAAGATGCAATACATCCATAATATCATGATATTGTTTTCTATAACAGAAACAGGATATAAAATTATTGAATCATACCTGAGCTCCTGTGCTATCGAATCCACGTGTGCTGTTAGAAGAACAGAAAGAAGAAGAAAAAAAGACCAAAACACTTTATAGTGGTACAGTTCTGCCTATTTCTGATGAGAGAAGCAACCCCCCAAAACACAGGTGGCTTTTTTTATCCCTCCCTCCCCGACCACAGAATTACTGCTGCTAGAGACAACTGCTGAACTTAATGTGCAATTCTCACCATTACTTTGAAACAAAGAGAGGAACTCTGTATACAGTGAAGACAATGCTGGTCAGTTATTGAAAAACTGCCCCTGTGGCTTCTTTTATAGAAGGCATATGTCATGAGAAGACTTTGTTTTCCTAAGTGATAATTCACTCTGGGAAGGAAGGAAGCTGGCATTTACCAATACAGTACCTACTCACACCTGACTATGCAACATATTGAAAGAGTCAACAGGTGTTTCTAAAGATTACTCATATGGCACTGACAACATCCATGATCCCACTTCTGGGAAAAGGTTGTTACACTGTTAAGCCCCCTCTTCCCTCCCCCCCTCTGTGTATGTAGGGAAAAGGTTGTTACACTGTTAAGCCCCCCTCCTTCCCTCCCCCCCTCTGTGTGTGTATATGTGTGTGTGAGAGAGAGGGGGGGGAGAGGGAGAGGGAGAGAGGGAGGGACATTTTAATCCCTAAATATGTTTAACTACCTTGCTAAGTGACAGGGATCACCTTTTAAATGTTTAAAGAAAGTATAGTAGTGCATTATCTCTAATTAGAAACTGCTGAATGTAACCCAGCCAGTCAGTCTCAGCAGCTCCCTGCAGACACCATCAAATGTAGGCTCACATCACTGTTCAGATATGTAGCAGTAACTTCATTATGCACTTGTAATTACTCGCTTAATGTGGGGATTGATCCTGATCTTACTGAACTATATGGAAAGGCTGCCAGTTTGTTTCTGTGAGTGTAAAGTAAGCTCTTAAAATAACTACACACAGAGAGAATGATATTGTAATTTTATCCTAAGACATGGTTTGATTAGAATTGAAATGGGCCTTACCACTTCAGGCTAATATTATTGAATGGTCTGTTCTTTTAGCTGGCTGCATAGCTCAGTGGTTCAGGTATCTGGCTGCAAAGCTAGAGTTGGAAGTTTGATCCCCCCAGTGTTCCCCCTGTGAGTAGAGTCAGTTTGTGTGGTCTTGGCCAAGCTGCACAGTTTCTGGATGGCTCCAGAAGAAGGGAATGCAAGTGCTGGAAAATCTTACAAATGTTTGGCATAAATTAGGAGTGACTTGACAGCATATGATTATTATATTTTAATTTTTTTTACAAAATGTCACTGGTGGGTATTTTTTTTTCCAATTGCAGAGCTGCATTGAAATGATACAACTGTACAAGGGGCCTTTACTGGGCAATGGAAACTACCTTGCCTGTATGCTCATCCAGCCAGTTTAATAGCTCAATGGACAATTTGAATCTGTATCTCTTGAGTTCTGGTCCAACCATATTCTGATGTGATCATCAGTTCATGGACTGCATATTCATTCCTATATTCATGAACACCCTTTGTAGAAATGTGATGAATGAAGCAACTATATGTTATCTTAAACATCAAAGGTTGACAAATTATTGCTTTCCTAGAACATTATAATGGGTGTACTCTATTTTAATGTGAGAACTGTATAGAACATGCTTACACTCTGGTAGTGTTGAACCAATCTGAGAAGTGTATCCAAATGAGAGTAAGCTGCACTCACCCTAAAAATAATGGCCATTTACTTAGTTGTTTGAAGAACAGCTGAATTTGGGAGCATTCAAAGAAAGAAAATGTTGAGATAGCTTTGAGGGGGTTCTTTGAGTATTTGATTTAGGAGAAAGACAACATATAAATATTTTAAATACATAAAATAACATTTAAAAACTCTAGTAGATATCCTTGCCCTTGCATTCCCACCATTAGGTGAAACGAGTGTTCAGTGCTTCTACTGGAAGTTTGTATTTCAATCTTAACAAGCAAATGTACTGAGTTTCTGACTCTCTTGTTACCGCTGGAACCTTGCTTCAAAAATTACCCCTCTTTTTCTCTAGAGAAAGTTCCTCCACTTAACTGAGTAAATGTGAACTGGCAGCAAAAAGTTTAAATGGATGCCAGTTAATGCAAGAAGAACTGGGCTTAGAGCCTGCTTCTGTGGGCTCAGACTGCAACAGAAGTGAGCAAAGTGCATCATCTGCATGTGTATCCTCAGTACCATATTTGTGGCTCAAAGATCTCCAGGAGTCCCTCCTTTTCTTTTTCTTTTCTTTTTAAAAAGGAAAGAACATTATGCCCAGTAAAGGCCCCTTGTACATCCAGGAGTCCCTCCTTTTCTTTTTCTTTTTCTTTTATTTTTAAAAAGGAAAGAACATTATGTTTGAGAAAACCTGGAGGGTTCCAGATACCCACCAGTGACATTTTGTAAAAAAAACATTATGGGTTCCATGAGCAGCAATTTTCAATTCTTAGGCCTTGAGGAAGTCCCCAAAGGCCTCCTACCTCCGCGTAGGCATCCTTCAGTCTCGAGAGACTATGGTAACGTGCTCTGAATAGAAGACTTGGAACAGCGTCTAGTGTGGCTGATAAGGCCAATTCAAGAGTGACAATCCCTTCCACACTGAAGACAAATTCAATCTGTCCCGGGTCCAACTCCCTGATTTTGCTGGTTTCAGGACTGCCTCTTTGCCTCAGCCTGCTGAACAAGTGTCATTCTCGGCCTCCACCCAACCATAACATTGAAAAACAAACAAACTGGGAAGTCTGTATGCGTGTGAGAGAGAAAGTGTGTATTTGTGTGTGTGTGTGTTTTAAATTTCAAACTGACCATTCAAGGGCTCTGTGTAACCCACAGAGGGGGCTGGAGGCACAAATGTCCCCTTCAAATCCCTGAAATTCACCACTTGATCTACAAGAATCAACGGTTCTAGCCCTGCTGGCCTTCTGTACATCTGCACTGGTAATGAGGATGCTTCTGAGAACAAAGGAGATCATGTAGTTCTCTTAACAAGGACAGGTTGTGGGTCAAGCAAGGAGATGGTTCACACCCAAAATTGGGAGGGTGCAACCTTTTTGCAACCACAAGCTCCATTAGCTGATTTCCTAGTTCAGTGTGGAGCTATCAGCTATGCTCTACTGTTCAACAAGGATAAACACTTAGGACACTTCTCCGAAATAAGGCTTAAACCAGTGTTTGCCTTCACTGTTCCAGATGTACATTCTGCAGTCTATGTCACACTAGCAACATTCCTACTTGTCATAAATAAATAGTTTCAGAGGCACTGAAGAGCAGTATGCATGAAAACACCCTCATGGCGCCCATGATCACATGAACTGGTCCTGGCAAAATAGTCTTGTTAGCATTATCTCTAGTCATTTAGATTCTGTCGCAAACTTTGCAACTAAAATCTGCTTCAGAGGAAAGTAAAATATTATCACTTTTTAAAAATATTTTTCATACGTCCATCTCCCACTCATAATCAAGGGTCACAAGAATTATATTAAAAACTTATTTTCCTTAAGGGGTTGTATTCCGAGTCAATCATGTTTTCCAGATGTTTGGATCATTAAGGGGCCTTTTAATCTCACCATTACATTACCATCTGTTCTTTACCCAAGGAGACCGAAACAGAAAGTTTAACTTTTTATCTTACATTGAAAAAAATATACATTTTAAACTGTTAGGAATGTTGCAGTGTTTTCAGACAGATGCAGGCTTGTATTTAAAGGGCCTTTCCAATGTGCCTAGAGTCGAATCTATTAAATACAAAGTATAAACAAACCAAAAGGGAAAGAGAGCATGCAATCTAAAGGAGATTGCTGTCATTTTGGACATAGCTCCATATTACAAAATCATGGTCAAATCTGTTTACTGTCAAAACCTCAAACAGCATCAGCTGCATTTTAAAATTATCTGTGTGCTCAATTTATAAAACTTTCCTCCCCTTTCATTTCCTCATGCATCTAATAACATTTCACCTTCTAATGTCTGCAGTTTTTGTTCTTGATTAAAATGAGCCCTAAGGAAGGTGTAGACTCATTGAGTACACATTTGGGACCATGTGCAGAAATCAGTACATTTCATGCTGTGATGGGCACAGGGTCATACAAGGGGTTTTCCAACTCACCCTTAGTGCCTCCTGAACGTGTGCGTAACTTTTTATCTTCTCCATCTGCATCCATCTGTAACAGAACAGAAAGATTTTGATTATTTACAATTGAAGATGGTGGTGAGGAGGATCATTTTTGTACCTTACAAGACTTCTAGGGGCCAGCAAGATTTATAGATTTTGTCATTCATGGAAAAAAAAGGTCATCTGAGAATAACTTCTACACATAGATCAAAAGACATGCAGAACAAAAAATAAACTATGATTCTTTCCAGACAAATGCCAATGCCGACAAGTAATACAAAATTACAGTCTTATCCCAGCAAGATTAGATAACTGCTGAAGTTGGGCCATTATAATCAGAGCTTAGAAGCATTCCTTTTCTGGACTACTTTTAACTTTTAAAATTCTCCAGTCAGGATAGCCGCTGGCCATGCTGGTTGGGGATTCTGGGACTTGCAGTCTGAAACTCAGTTTCCCAGGCTCGAGTAAGGATATAAGAAAAATCTTGCTAAACCAAATTAAAGGTCCATTTAGCTCAGAATTCTCCTCCCAAAATGAAAGGCTCGAGTAAGGATATAAGAAAAATCTTACTAAACCAGATTAAAGGTCCATTTAGCTCAGAATTTTCCTCCCAAGATGAACCATCCAACACTTCCATGCATCCTAAATATGAGCACAAAGGCAAGAGCCCAATCATCTTGATACCCAGTAGAAAATTGCCTCTGATCATGGAGGTTCTGTTCACCTTTCATAAACACTAGAAATTGGTAGAGCTATTTCTGCATTGATTTGTCTGTTCTTTTAAATCCACAAAACCCATGAACATAAGCACAAAAATCATGGCAACAAATTCCATATATTTATTATGCGCTACATAACAAAATCTTTTTTTTCATCCACTCCGTATGTATTGCTTATTAAATCTACTGGATAATTGTAGATTTGACTCATTGAAGTGATACATCGGGATATATCAGCATGATCATACTGGGAACATCATTACTAAATGTGCGGTAACATTGATTCTGCAGGTTAGAGCTTCTATTTGTACATAAAGTTCTAACAAAGTAGGGAATCTGGTATGGCTTTGGCATGAAGGTGGTCAAGCATGGACTGTAAATGAGGAATGTCTTTAGTGCTACTTTAAAAATACTGTATATATATATATATATATTAAGCAAACAAAAAGGACAAACCACAGTTAATAGTATGTAATCATATTTTATATTTGTGAGTTAATATATGGGTATGGGACTAGAAGTGAAATGCAATACGTATAGATGTGTGGATTTTATTCCACTTCCCTCAGTAAAAATATTCACAAAGTTCCACCAAAAACACTGACAGTTATATTAAGGAATACCTGGACAACTTTGAATGTCAGAATACTGCTGTTCACTACAGTCAAAACTTTGCTTGGGAAGTGAAGAACTCTACTATTAAGCCAAAGTCTTAGATTATTTCTATGAAACAAAGTTTGGAACTGAACAAGGATGGAATTTAGGGTGTATACAGGTGCCATCTCATAAGAAGAGAAATCTCCCTGGAAAAGACCCTGATGTTGGAAAAGAGTGAAGGCAAGAGGAGAAGGGGACGACAGAGGACGAGATGGTTGGACAGTGTCACCGAAGCTACCAACATGAATTTGACCAATTCTGGGAGGCAGTGGAAGACAGGAGGGCCTGGCCTGCTTTGGTCCATGGGGTCACGAAGAGTTGGACACGACATAACAGCTAAACTACAACAGGTGCCTAAATTGTATTATTACTATTTTTATGTTGAATCTTAGCAAGAGCTGTAAAAATAAAGATTCTGGTCTTGGATCTGAACTGAGAGGGGAGATAAACTAATGTAACTTCCCCTCAGCTAATTCCTGGTTTTCCCTTTTCTCCTCTCCTAGTGTTTGCCCCATCTTGTTTAATGTTTTCCCTTTATTTAAAATGGTTTTAGTTATATTGTTACATGTCTGTTGTAAGCTGCCTAGAGTGGTCCTGAGGGACTAGATAGGTGGGATATAAATAAAATAAATAAATAAATAAAATAAAAAATAACTGCAGGTTTCAGTTTAGAGATCTAATTAATGTCTTTGGAAATATAAAAGGACTGAGATAACAAAGTGAAACTAGTAAAGCAGAAGTTTTTCAAGTAAATTGCATATTTTGCTTCGGTATGAGGGTCACATAACATGAGACATCAGACATTACCCCACAACAGAAAAGGAAATTAAAACAAAAATAAACCCAATCAAGATGTTCTGGAGGATTTTCAGTTAAGAACATGTGTCTGTTGTTTATTTCCTGTGCCATATTTTTTTTCTTGGAAAAGGTCCAGTGTATTCCAAATGCAACAACTCTGCTCACTACTTTTCAGGGTGAAAATAATATTTAGAACTGAATGACACTTTAAAAAACAAATTTTGTAATAATATTTTTACATAAGTAGACTGAGACTCAGAAAGGCAGTGATGAAGTAATTAGAGAACCAGGTGTAAAGTGTATGTCACTGGAGACAGTCAAGAGCACTGCACTCTTGTATTCCCAATAACTATCTACGAATGTGTAATCTGGACAGGAAATAAAGCTGGTAGGAAGAAAATGTATTCATCTGAAACCTGGTGCTAGAGGAGAGCTTTGCAAATAACTTGGACTGTCAGAAAGAAGAAAAGTGGGTCCTAGAGCAAATCAAGTATGAACTTTCTCTGGATGCAAAAATGAATAAACTGAGGCTATCCTACTTTGGGCACATAATGAGAAGGAGAGATATTCTGGGAAAGACAATAATGGAAAAGTTGAGGGCAGCAGCAGAAGAGGATATTTTTCTGTGATTATGTTCAGCCCAGCAAAGCTGTGCTGCTATGCCACGCTTAAATTGATGTTGATATGCATTAATCTTCTATGATGCTGGCAAGACACACGCCTCATATTGCTGCTCAAAGACCAGGGATTAGGGCTCTTCCAGATGGAACATTTATATACCCCTTTAAGTTTCTTGTTAAGTGGGGATCTTAACAAAAATTATAACTCTGTACCATTTTTGTTCTAGTGAATTCCCAGGCCTTTTTGACCCTCCAAAATCCTTTAGTTTATTTTTGAGGTGCTTTGTACTTGAGCAATGAGAGGAAGAATTCAGTGCTACAGTACTTCCTGGGAAGGCAGGAGAGCCTATGCCCCTAATTTTTTTAAAAAAGGCAGAGGGAAGTGGGAGAGAAGGAGGCTGAGCATCTCACCCTACACACACTGAGATGGAATTTGCCAGAAGTCATCCTGAGATACATGCTCACTTCCTACTGAGCTGTCAATGAGGGTGAAACAAGGTACAGTGGTACCTCGCAAGACGGGCGCTCTGTTTAACGACAAATCCACATTACGATGAGGTTTTTGCGATCGCAAAAGCGATCACAAAACGAAGTTTTGAATGGGGGAATTTCACTGCGCGATGATAGGTTCCCTGTGTTGGGAACCAATTTCTGCTTCCCGACGATCAAAACAGTTGATCGTCGGGTTTTCAAAATGTCAGCTGGGTGCTCAAAATGGCTCCCCGCTGTGTTTAGGACCCATTTTTCGCTGCACAGGCACCCGAAAATGGCCGCCCCTATGGAGGATCTTCGCTGGACGGTGAGTTCTTAGCCGATTGGAACACATTAACCAGGTTTTAATGTGTTTCAATGGCTTTTTTATTTTCACTTCACGACGTTTTCGTTCTGCAGCGATTTTGCTGGAAGGAATTAATGTCATAATGCGAGGCACCACTGTATTGAGATATGCTGGATATTTGGCTGTTTGATGGTGGGAGATCTTCTGTGGGGGGTCATGGACACTACATACCACTGATGCTGCTTCTCCTCAGTTTCGAAATGTGGCTTCACTTTTGAGCAAAGCATGGCTGCCATCACACCTCCCTTTCTCTAACCTTCTTCTCCTGCTAGCAACTGGCTCCAACGAATGTACTTTTCACTCAAACAGTGTAACAATGGACAGGAGTTTGAATGGCAATCCTAGTAACTCCTATGCTCTTTCTAAACCAAAACAAGGAGAACAAGTTGGTAGGAAAACTCCATCTGAAAGTCCTCTTAGATGTCCTATTCAGTAATCTTAATCACTCTATCATCATTTCTATATTAAGAGGCATTAAAACATCAATTACTGCAACACCTTCAGGAAGAGATGCTATTCTCTTATTCATTCTATTTTGCTAAATTAGATTAACTCTGTATAACAAGTAGCATGTGCTCTTTCGACAATCTTTAGAATCCATTCTTCTTGTCGTTGTCTTTTTTAGTCCACTCTCCCATCTTATGTAAGCAGGACATTTTACCAAATCTGATTTTAAAATATTTCTAATAAAACTATATCAAAAGAGAACAATACAGTAAGTCAAAAAATATGTTCAGCAAATGAATAAGCCACTGCTGAGCCAGGGCTTTGGCAGCATGGCTTACCTTTGCCATCTTCCCTGGAGGACACGAGATCTCTTTCAAATCTTGCGCAAGCAGTTTTAGAATAAGGGGGAAAGATT